ACCAATTCTTAATCTTTTAGGGAATGTTAGTAAGCCTATACTTGGTCAAAACATGGTACCCACACACAAAGGAATGCCCTGATATGTTGAAAGCTCTCCATGTTTTTGCTAAACTGTTTATCAGAAAGATGTTGCTCCATACCTCCTCTCTCTGAGCCTCTGGGCTAATTTAATCTCCATTAGCAAACTGATAATGCCTCTTGAGAGGATCTGGATTTTGTTTGGACAGGTGGCTGTTGGCAATGGTCATTGTATAACAGTAACCAATTTGCAATTCAATCCACATTTATTGTGCTGTTACTCCACCAGCCTCTGGCAGCACTGCAAAGATATTGTCAACAATCCAATTGGGTGAATTGTTGCGTGATATTTCACCATGTGCACACCTCTCTGGGTTCACTCAGTCTAAATTTTCAGGACATTTAACAAAAAAAAAAAAAAGCAAATGAAATTAAAAGGCCTGCATTAGGTGGCCTCTCTTGCTATAAGTAAATGTTGGTTTTGAAAAAGCTGCAACATAAGAGACTAGAAAAACAATGCATGTGTTCCCACCCCCAATTTATCCCACTACCAATTGCTGTTACCAAACTAATTTATTCCTGTTCCCATGGATTCCAAGACAGTGTTTCCTCTCACATAAAGCCACATTATTCCTTAAACACGCAGATGATTAGGGAATGATAACATATCACCAACATGTTATGTACCCAAAGCTTTGATATAATGCCAACTGTATGGCCTTAAAATGCCAAGTAGATTGGCTTTTAAGTTTCTATTGTTGTCTTTTGCCCCATTAAAATCTATTTGATTTGTGAAGTGTCCTAAACATTATTTCACACCAAGATGTTTACTGGTTTAAGCAGCATTGTCATATAATGTATAACTTATTATAACATATGCTACAGAAAGGAAAGCTTCATCTGCCAATAGATGATCTAAAGCAGCAGTTGTCAACTGGTGGGCCGCGAGAAAATTTTGGTGGGCCACAGAGAAATCTCACCCCCAGAGCAAACCCCCACAAAGCAATTAATCCAGGCTGCACAGAAACACAAGGCTGTGCCGCCCACATGGCCCATGGGAACCCTCTCCGCCCACTCACTCCTTACCCGGCAAACTTGCCTGTTAAACTGCTATTTTTTCCTTTTTCCAACCATCATCTGTTCTGCTGTGCCGGGAGATTTAGATTAGCTAGGAAGCAAGAAATGGTTGGATGTCTTGCTTTCTAGCTAGTCTTTAGATCTTCGGCTCTGCTTTTAAGCACAGCCGAACCTCCCTTAGGACTGAAGGTTCTATTATTCAGTGCTGACTCATGGCAAGCAAATTTTATGTGACAGACTGAGCTAGCCAATGGCAGATAGATCGATCACTGAATGATTGTGTGAGCAACTCAATCTGCCTGCCTGCTTTGCCTGATTTTGGGTAAAAGTTGCTTTAAATAAAAAATTCAATATTTACATACTTGGTGTGTTGTGAGTTTTGTGAGTTTGCTTGCAAGCAAATTTTATGTAATAGACTGAGCTAGCTGATGGCAGATAGATTTCTGAATGAATCTGTGATTCTGTGAGCAACTTAATCTGCCTGCCTGCTTTGCCTGATTTTGGGTAAAAGTTGCTCTTTTTTTATAAAAAATTCAATATTTATATAAATATTTATATTTACATACAAGCCATGCCCAGCCAGTCACATGACCAAGCCACACCCACAAATTAGGCCACGCCCTTAGAACCGGTTAGTGGTCCCTGGGATTTAAAATTATGAGTTTGGTGGTCCCTGAGGTCCAAAAGGTTGGTGACCCCTGATCTAAAGGAGACCAGATTCATCCCCAAGAGCCTGCACCTGTGTTCAACAAGTGAAGAGACACAGGGCAGAAAACATCCTGCAGAAAGCACAGATCTACAACACAGTCCTTTCAGCAATTCCAAGGCTCCACACCTATTTGCACTACTGAGGTGACCCTGAGGACAAACCTCCAAGTGGCCTCTCTAAAAGAATGCAAATGACCAGCTGTCTGCAAAGAATATAAATCCTTCCATTCCCCACCAGCCAGTCAGAGTTGAAGAAGCTTCTTGAATGAGAAGGGAAAATCTTCAAAGAAAAACCAGAAACTCCAGTTGCCTCTTGAAAAAGCACCTTTGGGGCAACCATGACCTGGATGACTAAAGAATCTCCATAGACATTTAGATCTAAAGAATACCATCATATTAGAATTTGTAAACATTGGAGAAAATATTCCGATCCTTGAGAATGTTCAAAGGTCAAACGAGTAAGGAAGTGCTTAGAAGAGAATGCCAACCAACTTGACTATTTGATTTATGTAACAAAGTGTCTGTGCGACCTGACTTTTAGTACACCTTGTATTGCATACTAATTTACTAATGTTTGTATGCTGTGGCTGGCAAGCAGGCTGGAGGCCTCAGAATGATTTGACATTACATTAAAAAATCTCGCAAATATTGTTTTTCCCTCCTGCAAGTGATTCATCTTTTATACACATCACTGCCATGGCAATAAAGATTATAAATCTTGTTTGCATACCACAATATTCTTCAAATTTTCTGTTTATACACGTTGTGATAAGTTCTTACGAAAACCAGTACATTATTCTATCTATTTATAATACTTTATCCCAACTTTCCACTGAGGAAGGCAGAGTACATTAACCCCATCCTTTCCTCTTCTGCTCACCCCCAGCACTGGAACTGTGTGTTATAATCTTGAAAGCTAATAACCGTGCTGGAATTAATCATTGAGCTTCAGGACTGATTTCAGTTTTGAACTTCAGTCTCCCACATCCTAGACTGAATTGCTATATTATGCTGGTTCATGTCCCAATGAGACAGACTATGATTCTCATAGCTTGTATAAATGGCTTATTTAGTTTGGGTTTACTGTGTTGAGGGAAACTTGTTGATTTGCAGACTGGTTATGTATTAATGTGGAATATCTATTTATTACATTTATGTTGTTTATCTCATTGTCATGCGACTATGGTCAGCTTACACCATCATAAAAACACAATCTAAAAACCACAAAAGCATTTAAAATTGTGATTAGGAAAATATTAGAATGTGCAGAAATGTGTAGCTTGCTATAAAGGAGAAAGAGCAAACTGAATATTATATGACATGGGAGCTATGTTATGGATGGTTGGAGAATAAAAACAGAAGTGAGAAATAAATGGAGATTAGTGAAATATATGTTAAGATAAAGACATAAACAATATTATTATTAAGATTACTATACCTAATATATTTTCATTAAAAGATACGTTAGGAGATAAATGAATAGAATTATAATGCTGATTATTGTAATTATCCTTACAATTTATATTGACTGTTTCCTAGTATGATTTGATTGCTTATTGTACCTTATGACTATTGTTGTGTTGTACCTGATGATTCTTGATGAATGTATCTTTTCTTTTATGTACACTGAAAGCATTTGCACCAAGACAAATTCCTTGTGTGTCCAATCACATTTGGCCAATAAAGAATAAAGAATTCTAAGATTAGAGAATTATTATCAATGTAATGAATATTGTAAATTTTGATTATAATAGCACAGAGACATTTGTACCCGATGACACAGTTTAATGGAAGATGGTATGTTCAAGTTAAAAAAATAACTTATTTTAAAAAAGCATTTAAAACAATATTTGTGAATTATTTATAACTGCTCATCTTTCAACCAACTATGGGCACATTAAAACAATATGAAAAGATTTATTGACATCTCCTTGAGAATAGGTTTATTCCCCCCACCCCCTGCCTCTTTTTTGGGTACCTTCTTGTGTTGACCCCTCATGACTGCCTGGCCAATCCCTGCACTTTGCTTGGTAAGGTTTTAGAAGTGGTTGCCATAACTTGCTTTCTAGGGCTGAGAGTGAGTGAGTGGCCCAAGGTCACCTAGCTGGCTTCATTTGCACCAAGACAAATTCCTTGTATGTCCAATCACCCTTGGCCAATAAAGAATTCTATTTATTGATTTCTATCTATTCATACCTAAGATGGGACTATAATTCTCTAGTTTCTAGACTGGTACCTGCACCAAACTGGCTCTCACCTACCCTATCTAGCTCTTTACAAAGAACGAGCCATATGAAGGTCTGGAAAATGAACACCATTGCTTCAGTTGTTTACTTCCGAAACTTATCATTTCAAAAGGTGGTTGTTGTTGTTTTAAAAATAGCTCCTTCCAGCTTTAAGGAACGTGGAGATACAATTTGTATGGCCCCTGCTTGAGATGCAAATATCTGCTTTCTCGGGCTCTTTCAGAAGCTCCAGTCTAGTGGCTCATCCAGGCAAAGGTAAGTCCTATCAGCTGTCCAAGAGAGGCCACCAGCAGGTCCTGGGCTGGCCTTTTCTTGTGGACAACTCAAGTTGCTCTTGCAGTGGTGCCTCTTTCAGGCCTCCACTCCCTTCAGTCCGAAAGCAGCCAAGTTAATGTTAGATCAGAGAAGAACTCATTTCTCTTCATAATTGGCTTTCACCTCTGTGGTGGTGGTGGGGCAAGTGACAAGGCATGTGGGCAAGACCCAGCTGCCTCCTCCACTGGAAGCCTAAAAAAAGGGCAAGATTCCCCCCCCCCACAAGAGTTGCCCCTCTGCTCCTTTAGGAGAGGAATCAAGAAAAGCAGCTGCAAACAGCAACCGCTGACTTCTCCCTGGGCCTTCTGGGCGGTGTCAATCCCACCCATCACACCTTCCAAGCTGTTTCTTGAGACCTAGATTAGCTTTGCCCTGCAAGGAACAGCTCCTGCCGCTTCCGCGGGCCTGTCCCGCCTCCTCAGGGGTGTCCAAGTTTGCCACAAGGGCCTGAGGGGCTCCGGCTGCCACCCAAATAACCCACCGGCGGGAGAGACAGGGCGAATCGGCGGGGCTTCCGTGCACCCCCGCAAGCCTGCTCCGGCGATCTGGGCTCCGCCAAGGAGGAGGGGCTCCTTCCTAAGCCGCCTTCCTCCTCTCGAGGCCAGCCAGTGGGTTCTGGAGGAGCGGAGCGGGGCGGGGCAGCCGGCGGTTTCCCGGCAGTCTGGGACGTAGGAAGAACGGAGGGCCGAGAAAGCGGCTGGCTGGCTGGGCGCGGTGAAGTTCAGTGGGCGGCGGCCGACTAGCTGTCGTCTGGGAACGGGGAGTTTTAAGACGTTGCTGCTGGCTGCCTGGCTGCCGTGGCCGGCGCCGGTTCCCCATGGAAGTCGAGATGCCGCAGGTGAGATCCAGCTACCCCGCGGGCCGGCAGGGGACTCTAGAGAGAGCAAGCAGAGGGGTCGTGGTCGAGGCGGGCATTTCCCCAGCGGAGCATTCCAAAGAGCGGGAGTGGGTTTTTTTGGCGGGGGGGGGGAGAGACTTTACAGAGAATTTACTTCTCTAAGTTGGACCCGGAGGTCGCGTTAAGCGGAAGAAGCGCCGCCCACTCTTCCCGCTTCCACCCCCCCCCTCCCCGGCAGCTAACGCTGGACTCTCTGGCTTCAGCCTAGCCCCGCCCTCCTGTCGTGATGTAACAATCACGTTGCACCGCGCTGACTCATCGGCGCCTCTGCTGGTCTGGTCGGCCGGGGAGGGGGGGGGCGAGTTGAAGGAGTGGGAAAGGCCTAGGGCTGCGCAGGGGGCGTGACTGTAAAATAGAATAGAGCTGGAAGGGCTACAAGACTTGGAGGTCTTCTAGTCCAACCCCCCTTGCTCAAAGCAGGAGACCCTATATAGTACCATATTTCAGTCAAGTGGCCGTCCAGTCTCTTCTTAAAAACCTGCAAGTGATGAAGCCCCCCACAGCTCCTGTGGATGAAGCGGCGGGTCCCCGACGGGAAGTTATTTTAATACGTTTTGTCCCTCCTCCAGTCCTTCCTTTGGAAGCGATGCCTGCAATTGGGATTTTTAAGAGGGGGCATGGTAATTTCACACACATGGTGCTCTGAATCCTTCAAATTAAATTC